GAATAACAACAGCATGTTTAAAAGTATTTTAATTAAAAAAGGAGCGTGTCCTATTTGAAATGGTATGGCTTAGACCAGTAATAACAAGAACTATTATTTGCAATTCAAAGAAATATAATATTTCTGCTTTTTTCCACTAACAAAATAATGTACAAAACTGATATATTTTTAAGATTATCATTTTTTCCCCCTAAAAAAGTTCTTCAGCATCATCTTCAACAAAATCAAACTTTTGGGTAAGTTTTCAAACCTTTGCTTTAGCTTCTTAGTGCCTGAAAGCCTCTTTGYTAAATCTCCTCTTTAAAAGCCCATTTAGGACCTAACACTAAAAGGCAGAGAAGTTAAAACTCCACTTTTCGTGGAGTTAGGTAGAAAGAATTTAGTGCAAGTTACACTCATGGGAGTGGTAGGTTTATGTAAAATAGCATTTGTGTGAACATGTTCAAGGTATTTGTGGAGGTGCAGGAGCCAGGAATTCTTAGACAGCTTTGATTTAGACTGAACTAAGTGTTAGTGTTGTGGATTTGGGTGGAAAGGAGGTAAGCATTTATGGAGTCAGCCATGTGTGACGGCTACAGATAACAAAGACAGAGAAAAATAATTGTAAAAGAATGAAACCAAATGAACTTTACATGCTTTTTTCATTTGCTTCCCGTAAACACTAAATGACCTTAGAGCATAGTGTTGACAAAGTGTTGAGCAAACTTGTGCAGTGGTTTCATGGCAGAAACTCACACACTTTAAGGTAGGTCTGTTTGTTTTTCCTTCCAATGTTTTTGACTTATTCTATATTTCTGGGCCAGTAAATAGTCTCTCCTCTCCGTCATCCATCAAATTCTAGTAGCTGCACAAGGAAATCAGTCCTACAGCAAAGAAAACACATTCCTTGACCTATTTTGGTATCATAATGTGGAGCAACATTCAGCATTTTCCTGCACTGCCATTTTGTACAACCTAACTACAAAGTACAAATATATATATATATATATATATATATAGTGCAACTAAACTTGCTTTGACTCACTGGAAACTGGAAAATGTTGGATAAAACTCGCAGTAAAATGCCAGTAGCCCGTCTGAATTGAAGAAAATAGACTCTGAAACCTTTATTGAATTTCATAGACTTGTTTGATGCATTTCTGCTCTGTATCTGCTCGTGCAATATGTCAAATATGTAAAAAACAAAGTGAATGGAAACAAATCTGGGGCAAATTAAAACAGTTTTAGGACTGGCTCTTGAGTTTAGTTTGCTCATCTTTCCGCCTCAGCCTGCGACATGAAACAAAATAGTTGTGTAACAACACCACACTAGTGTTGGTGGTAAAGGTGGTTTCAAGCAGAGTACAAATCAAAGTAGAGCAGAGGAACGCTGACCTGCTGTGCCGTGCAGCCAATCRCATTAGCTGTGATGTGCACTAATGATGAGAGAGATGGCAGCTCAGTCTGATTCCCACAGGGGGTAAAGGTGAGCAGGAAGAGGTGCACGGTACKACAGGACCTCGATGGGAGTGAAAGTGTGTGGAGCTTGAATGGATTAGCAAACTGTGGTCTGGGCATGGTAAATGAAAAAGTTACAAACTTTGCTCTGATAACACTTTATACCTAACGCATAATTTGTGATCACACAGCTTTRAACTTTTAAACAGCTGAATGTGACAATCTTCTGACTATTATTATTGCACATGTGCACATTTCAGACTGTTACCTGTTGCACATTTGCACATTTACACTTTAAACACCGATTGTACTGTTCCTTTTCTTGATGTTGTTATTATTGAATTGTTCCCTTCTGATGTTATTATCTCTWGTTTGGTCTCTTTTTTTGTTCGAAGTGCGGTCTTTTTTTATCCTTTATCCCTTATTACCTTGTTAGTGACCTTTTGGTGCTTATTCTTTAAAGTATGTTTGTCTCTCAGCATTCAAAGTGGTCGGCAAAGTAAGAATTGCATTGCTCAGGGAAACATGTTTTCATCTGTGTATTTGACAATAAACACTTTGAATCTTTAGGCTTTTGTTATGAAATTTATATGTAATTGTTCTTTTGAATTTGCAGAATTGATCACAATCTGGAATTTACATAATCCTTCTGGGTTAACAAAAAGAACGCTTCAATCATGCTATGTTTGAATCAACTACACCTTTTAAAAAATGTATCTAGTAAATATTTGTGCCTGAATAGTAATCTTTACAAGAYGCAGAAAACAGCCAAAAGTTGTCAAACAAAACAGTCTGTTATTATTTCTGCAGTTAGGTTTACGTGTTCATATGAACGAGTCAAAAGCACAAATGCGGCAAATGATTAACCCTCCTGCTGCCTTCAGGTCAAAATGACTTATGAGACCAGAGTTTTGAGGCCTTGTGGGTCAATTTGACCCAAGGGCAGCAGGAGGGTTACATAAGCAGACAGAAACAGCATGTAAGGAAAGTATTTTACTCAGATGTACAAAAACATTATTTATGTTCTTGATTTTTATTAAAAGAATGTAAC